TTAAAGCAAAGCGTCGCCTTAAAAACATAGGGTGCCACACACTACCGGAGTCCTACTTTTATCTTCTACTCCCTCTTTTAAAGAAATATAAAATCATTTAGTTAAGAGGAATGTATGTATACCTCCAGCTAAATCCCTCAATGCTTACTATTTGAAAGGAAAAATAAATGTACATGTCAACCACCTTGTCGATGAGTTATTACTGTCTTTATTTCTTAATAGCTGTCATCTGGTGTGCATGCATATATATAGATCTCATCCACAATGGTTTATAGTTATATCAACTAGCTGCCCAGAATATCTCTCATCCACCATGGTTTATTGTAGTGGCCAGGAGGCGGACCAAAGATAGTTATATATATGGGCTATTTACATCTCAACTGAGTTAGCCGGTATGGATATAGTATTCCTCAGTACTCAAGACAAATTGCCTAATTGTATCCTATTTAAAGTGGCACACCATCACAAAATATATTAGACATGGGAAGCATTAGGAATCTATAAGCCTGCGGCTGTGCTGCCATGCTCAGCGAGAACAGAGTGGTAATTTGGGCCTGACTAGATTGATGAAGAATCACGGCTTATTGATGTGAGGGGAAGCACATGGCTTGTGTTCCAAGACAACACCCTAATCAGATAGGTCAGAAGGATGCGTGTGACTGGTGCGTTCAGCTTCTCCATAGTGGGGAGTAACTTAGACTAATAACATGCATATGTTACTAGTCTATGTTACTACTACCTCCGTCCGAGTTTATTAGACCCGTGAGCGGAGGGAGCACGTCCGTTTTTAAAGGGCCCGTTCATCGATTACTCGGCCAAAAGCTAAATGGTACCAGCGACTTAAATGGGAAGCGGCAAGACCAGCCAATGCATGCAGCTCCTTCTCTTCCCATTATCCATGCATGGGCCCATACAGCCTGGATCACAGCGTGCATGCGCATGCGTTCCCAACTCACGAGGAGTACTAATTACTAAGGGCAGTTGATTATTGGCTGCCGCATGCCTCGAAAATCTCTGGCAGTTAAAGAGTTAATTTCGTCTTGGTCTCTGCGTTTTGGCTCAGAGGCCTTTTAAACCCGGACGAAGGTAGTATCTCTATAGTGGGTAGTAACATATGTGTAGTGTCATGCATCACCTCATTTATTATTTTGTAGATTCATTTTGCATTGGGAACCGCTATATGATGGTAACATATTATGTTACTCTATTTGCCTTTCTCTTCATTAATTACCTGACACATCATCTTTTTTGCTTATGTGGCATGTATGTTACTACCTATGTTACTCCCACTATGACCAGCCTTCCATTGACATTTAGCTTAGGTTGCCACGCTCTCCCCTATGCTGGCTGTCTTGGCCCCCCTTTTGCTTTTTGTTTGTATGTCGCTGTTGTAAATCTACACCAAATTCAGGTGGGGAATCTCTTCATGGTGACCATTAAATTATTTTTGCTACACAAGTTGTTAGTCAAGTTTTGATCTCCAATGCATTGACCGGTTACTTTTCACATGCAAACCAAGCATATGCTACAATTACGATCTGTAGTCACCTAAGCAGTTATGCGGCTTATGACGTTCAATTCTTAAAAGACGATATCTGATTTTTCATAGCATGAGCCTAGTGAGTAGTTTCAAATAGTTCTCTTGCCCAACTTGTATCAAAGCACCCAGTTCTGCAACTGATCCAAGTTACCTTGTGAACTGAGAGCATAGTAGCACCACCCTAGCACACAAACCACATTATCCATCCTTTTATTATGAGCACCCTTTCTGGATTATTTTATGGTCAAGGCCTAGCATCTTCGAACTGGTTCTTTTTCCCTACCTTCCGGTTTCATTCGTTAAATTTGTGACCATTCCATGGCTTCAGTGTTAATTACTAATTGTGTGGAATCTTTCAAAAAACTTCTTAACTTGCTGCTTCTTTGTTGAATCAGTTTAGCAAAGTATCGATTCAACTGGTGGCACGAGTTGTCAGCTTCCTCTTATGTTCGTTAGACCCTTTTTTTCCTTCGAAGAACTTGTTTGCGAAAGTTATTGGGGTTTCAATTTTGTCTCGTGGTGCTAAGCCAAGGATGCCTAATTTTAGTTGCCTCTGTTAGTCTCAAGCAGTCCAGTACATTGCTGAACTCATCTGACGATGTCACTGCATTTGACCAAACCTTGAAGATTTCTAATAAAGTGTTCCTTATGATGTTCTTCTCGTGCTGATTCCCGCAACCGTAGTAGAACGCCAAAAAATCTACCAGTGTGGAGCGACGCCATGGCACCGCAAGCCCCTCAATGGAGCGTGATACGCCACTAGCGCCGGCCACGGGACAATGAAAATGTGCTAATACCTTGACGGTACATCGAACAATCCAAGAAGCAGCAATGGAGCTACACACGTGCAGTTCTCATGGAACTGAAAAACCATATAATCTACTAAGAACATGCATATCCAAGCGCGTATAATTAGGCAAAAATGAACAAATTATCAATATCTTCCCTTTTATACCTCTTAGTTTATTTAGCCACATCTTATATATTTAGCGGTTGTGTCAAGGATTTTGATCTTTGGCGTGGAGATGCACCTCTCGCCCTATAGTGCTCAAGCATATATAATCCCTTTGTACCTTCACCACCGCTGCTCACATCAGAGTTTGTCTTCATTTGGGCTGCCATGCAAGACATTCACCATGACCCTTCGGCTTCAAATTCCATATCCTAGACAGTCTCCACTAGCGAAACTTATTATGCTGAGTCAGCAATACAAGTTGCAATTTCACGGTGCAACTTCTCCCTTTATGGCTCAAAAATTATGGGAGGCTCCGGTTGAGCCTAAATGCAACGAAAGGCTCTCACTGTTGACCGTCGTGCTATCCGCATGTGGCCTCATGAGGGGGTTTGCATGTGCCTTACTGAACATGAGACTACGAGCATCTAGCATGGGGTTGTTTCTTTCTTCGTGGTGTTTGGGGCATTGTTGTGGGATGGTGCTCACTTGTTACCAAACTGGCTCCTGAATTTTCACCTCTTGAAGATGGGTGGAACATGCATATTTCTCACATGGAGGTGACAAGAGAAAGGTTTTTAGCAAGGTCCTCATCTATGTTCTTCGGAATTTTGGAAGGAGCGGAACCATCTTTGTCCATGCTTGAGGTTGCTTACTTGGTTAAGGAGGATCTTGATCAAATGAGGTTGGCCATGGCCGCTCCCGTATAGCCCATTTCATTGTTTTGGCTTTTGCCTTTTCTTGTACATATTCTATAACACTTCTATTTTCCCCTCTCTTAGTGCACTAGTGCAGAACCGGGATTTAGCACCGGTTCGTAAGGGCCTTTAGTGCCGGTTCTATAACCAGCAGTAAAGGGTGGGGACTAAAGGTCCCCCCCCTTAGTACCGGTTCGGCACGAACCGCCACTAAAGTGCCACCACGTGGCATGAGCCAGGGCCGGGTGTGAGGAGACCTTTAGTAGCGGTTGGTAACACCAACCGGTACTAAATGTTTCGGGGGTTTTGGTTTTATTTCTTCATTTTTCCTTTAGTTTTGTGTTTTCAATTTA